GCTGGGACATAACTACATCTGCTAGTGACAGAGAGTGGGGAGCAGAGGCTCCCATGTCAAACGCATCACCTAGACCCATCCCCAGGCACCTTCAGCACACCCAAGCCAATGAGAGTGCTACCACCACCAGTGACCCACATTAGGGACACCTGTAGGTCTCATTCAGATCCTCTGCTTCTACAGCTCTTCAAGCTGGTAAAAAAGAAACAAAAAACACTCCACACAGACAAGGCAGGGTGGGCTCTGAAGCTTCCCTAATGACTCCCCAGCTCCCACATGCAGACACAAACTATCTGCTTTTCTACCAGGACAGCTTCTCAGTCTGCCTTAAGTTCAGCTCCTAGGCCTGTGAATGCACCACACTGTTCCTACTTCTCCATCTGCCACTACAAAAGAGGCACAGCCCCTTCCAGCTCAGCTCACAACACTCCCCCTGCCATCCCCGAGGGTTGATTTAGCACACCCCAACCACCACATGTGCAGGCAGAAATTCACTAGGTCCTGCAGCAACAGCCTGATGCTTACAACAAGGGCTCAGGGAGCTGACCCTTGAGGGCATCCCTGGAGAAGACTGTGGTCACACATGGATCCAACCTTCATCAACAGACAGACAAGGTCCAGCTCAGCACTTGTGCCTGACCCAAGCACCTCTTTGCTGGCTATTGTACAAGGGCTAATGTTGCCAAGCCACCTGGACGCTGCCAGCCGGGTGGATGGGCCTCACCAGCCCCCTGCTTTCCCACAGTGTTTTGCTAATGCTCAAGGGCAGACAGACAAGCAAAGCCATGAGGTCGCACAGGAGAGCCAACTCTTAGTATAACAGTTGCTTCAACAATACTAAACACCAGATAAGCTGCTTTAGCTCAACAGGCTCCAGCTTCAGCAGAGGAACACTTTATTTGCATGAAAGCCCATGGCAGCTGGCGCTCATCTGCAAGGGCTGCAAAGCAGCAACACCTACTACATGTTCCAGGTCTTCAACAAAGAAAGGTCCTGAGAAGTTCAAGACCATGCCAGCCAGACACACCAGCATCTTCCTCTTGCAACTCCAGGGCTGCACTTTTCCATGGTATTTTCACTGTTGCTTTGCCCAGACCAAGTCTTTTTGAGACCAAGTCTCAAAAAGAGCTTTATCCTCTCAAGCTCACACAGGGCAGAATCTACCCATATCTCCCCAGATCTGCCTTGTGCCCTGCTTCTGCGTGAGCACAGCTCACAGGCACCAGGGCAGCACCAGGCAGGTGTCTGGAGAGCCTCCTGCCAGAGCCACCATCTCAGGCCCTGCTGGCAGGAGCAGGCTGGACAGAGCCTGGGTGAGGCCGGCAGAAGCTCAGCATCAGCCCTTGCAGGGGACAACTTGACCTGCCTCAGCCTGCAGAGCTTCTGGCTGCACAGCAGCTGGCTGAGAGGGATTCAGCTTGGGAAAGCACCAGCCAGTGTCTGAAATCCCCTCCTGTCTGCTGATCACTGACTGGAGCAAATGCTGGCACAGCTGGCATGGGTTAATGCCAACAGCCTTCAACAACATGGGTTTGTGCACAGGAGACAATAGAAAGAAAAGGTGCTGAAACCTCTCACCATTCACACCTCCACCTTCAGCAGGGAATTCATACAACACCACAGCAACCTGCTTCACTGAACAAGTACCACCAACCCTTCCTACAATCGCAGTTGTGCCAGCACAAGGCAAGGGAGGTCACTGAGGTACTGACGAACCTCTTCACCACAAGCAAGGGAGGTCAGAAGTCTCCAGTCCTCTCACCCTCACTGCAGGGAGGGGTTCATCACCCAAAACCAAACTGAGGGCAGCAAACACCACATCAGCCACACCAGCACCCTCTGAATGTTGAGGGGCCAAGAACTGATGCCGGGGGAAGGCAGACAGGGCTGTGAAGCCTCACAAACTGCCCAGAAAAGCTCCGGAGGTGCAGCTAACAGTAAAACACCAGCGATGAAGCCTGCTTGGGAGTCACTCAACACTGACCCAGGTGAGTACCGAGAAGCAGGGAGCTTCCCCCAGCGCCGTGCAGAGCCATCTTGACCCTGAAGGGCTCCTTCAGGGCACTTGGGCTCTGCAGGACAGGCATGCTGTAAGCGGTTTATAACGGGGGGAAGCGCGGAGCAGCCTGGCAGGAGCCCTTTCGCAGCCCCACAGCCCACTGCGACCCTGGGGCACTGCCTCGACCGTGACCCAGGGCGCCTGAGGTGCTCTGGGGAGGGAGGAGATCCGGGCCTCCGGTCGGGAACAAGAGCCACGGACACCGACACCCCCCGCTCCCTTTCACTCCGGGGTGGTTCGCAGAGCTGGTTAAAAACCAAGCCCGGCGGCCCCCTCGCCGCTGCCTGCAGGCCCCGAGCCACTCTGCAGGGCCCGGCGCCGGAGTCTCCCCCTCACAACCGCCCCAGGCCGGGCCTGCCCCCGGGGCGTCCCCCTTCCCCCTGCCCGCACTCACGGTGCCGGTGAAGATGTCCTCGCCCTCCGAGTCGCTGTCGCCCCCCCCCGGCGCGTCGCCGTCGCCGCCGCTGGAGCCGCGGGGCTCGGGGAAGGGCGGGGGCACGCGTCCGGCTGGGGACGGGGAGCGGGAGCCGCCCGACGCCATGTCCGCGCCGCCGCTTCCGCTTGCGACCGCCGCGCCGGAAGTCACGGCAGCCGCCTTAACCCGCTGGGGCGGGGCCGGGGGGCAGGGCGGCCTTCGGATTGGGCTGTACCTCTGAGTGCCCCGCCCCCCACGCCAGCGGGAGCCAATGAGCGCCGCCGCTTTCCTCCCCTGGCAGGCGTCTCTGCTTCCCCATGGAAACGGCCACGAGCCCGGCGGGGGAGTGCGCCATTCCACCGGGGCGGGGGGGATGTCCCTGTGTCTGTCCCCCCCCGCGGGCAGTGGGCGAGCCCAGGCCTGAGGGCATGGCCGCGAGGCGCAGCAGCCGTGGTCCCCCCGGTGCCCCCGCCGAGGCACCGCCATCCCTCGGCCCTCGGTGCCTGCGATGTCCCAGCCGGAACAGCCGCGGCCCTTCCCGTGTCGCGGCCACCCTCCCCTCGGGCCCCTCCGCGCACCGGCAGGGGCGGCTCAGAGGTGGTGGGGAGCAGCTCAGGAGCGGCAGCGCTGCCGCAGAGCCCCGCGGCTCCTCCCGGAGCACGCAGTAACAAGCCTTGTGCAAGCCCAAACCGTTCTTCCCAGCACCGCGGGATGAGCCCCTGCACCCAAAGACAGCGACTGCCCCTGGGGCAGGCACGGTGCGGGGTCAGCCCACGCCACAGGGCGGGTGCCTGTCTGGGGGCAGTGCCAGAGGAGCCGGGCAGGGACCCTGGGCTCCACCGGCTTCGGGCTCAGGGGAAAACCCCGATGCAGATCCCGGACACGGGAGATTTTCCTCCTTTTGTCACAGCCGGTTCCTGCAGCCGAACAGCGAAGTCCACGGAGACCCCCGAGCCTTCCGTGTTGGAGCATTTGGTTTTCCACACGATTACAGCCATGTTGCGCGTTCTTCCTCCGTCCACACTGCTCTCAGGCGAGGAGCAGCAGCGCTGGGTCCACGCTCTGCCCCGCTGCGAACAGAAAACATGACACATCCTTATCTCGAAGGACGAGCCGATGTGCTCGTCGCTTCCCACACATCAGCGGGCAGCTGCGAGTGCCCTGCAATCTGAAATCACCTCTGGGCTCGCAGTGCCGAGGTCCGCTCTTCCCCTTGCAGGTGGGTCACTGCACAGGGATGCTCCCAGAGTGCCTCACTGGGTTTGAAACTGGGGGGTTCACCCTGATGCCCCCCCATCACGCTGTTGAAGTGGATGGCTGGGGGTGTGTAGGGACGAACACAGCTGGCTCAAAGATCAACTTCCCAACAACAAAGCATGAGGAGCAAAGCGGAGAAGGATTTGAACCTTCTGTTGGTAAACTTGATTGTGAAGGCAGAGAAAAGGCTGAGGCTGTAGGACACAAAGATGAGCAGGAGAGGCATCAGGATGATCTGAAGCCCCTTCCAGTGGGACCTTACACACTTTATGATCAATAGCCTACATGCCAGCTTTAACACAAAGGGCAGGAGCCCCCCCAGCCCTGCATCACATCTGCAGCATCTCTCACCTCTGCACAGCTGTATTTAGGCATCTCAATTGCTCCTCTACCATGTATTTCTGAAACAGAGAGCAGTCTTGACAAGCAACAGAGATAAATCCTCCTCACCCCTCCCTTCTCCTCCCAGTCTCATCCTTGTACTCTGCAAAGTCCCACTGCGCACTAACCTTTGGAGGATGTTGGTTTAAAAGGAGTAATTTCACCTTCTCTCAACTACAGGGGTTGGAGCTTGGGCAGAGGATAGCTTCCAGAGATAACATTCTGGTGCAAGCCTCTTTTGAATACACACCAGGCTTTGGGTATCAAGTTCAGACCTCTGGATGGACATAGGTGTCCCATATCCCACAGAATCAGGAGAAATCCCACCACAGAGCCAGGCAGGAGCCACAAACATTTCTACAGACATTGTCCCTATTCAGCCCCTCAGCCCGAGATGCAGAAGTGAGGGTGAGCCTGCGGTAGTGATGGTCAGTTAAAGCTCCTGAAGGAAGAGGCTTCAAATCCTGAGCATGAGGATTTCTGCAAGCCTTTCTGATCATGAGGATGTTTGCAAGCCTCTAAGGCTAATTAGTCTGAGCGCTCAGAGAGAAGAGGTGCTTTATCACCCACCCATGTATGTTTAAGATCCCCATAACCTACCCATCTGTGCCCTCCTGAATACATAAGATCCTCCCTTTCCCCTCAGGGCAAGCTCTGAGTCCACCTTCCCCACCACATCCCTTTCCTTCCAGCCCATTCCTCTCCCTGGAGGCTCAATTCCCCTCTGACCCCCCCTAAGCCTTTCTCTTCCACTCCCCCCTTTAATCCTGTCTGGGTCCTCTGTGCATCCCTCCCTGCTTCTCCTTCCCCTTTAATGCACACTCAGATCCCAGGGGACACCTGCAGGACCCCAGTGCTCCCAGGAGGAGCTGCCCACAGGAGCCAAAGGAGCTCATGAATCACCTTTTTATTTGAAGTGTACACAAGTCACTCACCCAGGTGCTCCCACCGCCCCTGTGCAGCGCCCACACCCCCCACACACCCCCCATGGCTGTGAGGCACAATAAGTTACCCTCATCCCCGTGCTGTGCTCCCCAGCCCTGGGCAGGTTGGCACCAGCCCTGCCAGTGCCTGGGTCACCCAGTGCCCTGCACCAGGGTAAGTGTCACTTTGGCATCGGGCCCTGCCCGATCGCATTCCCGGCTCCCTTCCCAGCTCCCAGGGCTCAGCACAACATGGCAGCCTCTGACGGCAGCGAGGAGCACCTACAGGGAAAGAATAGGCTTGGATTGGCAGGTTGTCAACGCTCACACTGCCCCAGGGAAGCAGGAGCAAAGACACAAGGATCAGCTCAGCCCACGGAGATCTGGAGACTTGCATCCAACAGGGTCCTCCCCCCACCCCAAGAGAACAAAGCAATAAGCCCCAATGCTGTCCAATCCTCCTCTCCCAGGGGATGCCCAGCAAAGGCAGGCAGTGTTCCAGGCGGTACTCACTCCATCTTGGCTTCCAGGTGGTGGACAGTCTGCTTGTCCAGGTAGCGGCAGAAGAGCGAGAGAAGGTTGCTGGGCAAGAAGAGAGGCTCCACCAGAGAGGCCTTGGGCACTTGTGACAGCTCCCGGGCAACCAGGAACACCATGTCTGTCCTGGGAACACCAACACGGGGGTGAGCACCCCATGGGATGGGGAGCCCCGGCCCCGCTGCTCACACACCCCTCACCACAGCTCGAAGTCCCCGTTCTGTGGCTCCAGCGGTGTGTCGGAGGACAGCAGCCTCTCACCATGGCTCAGCAGGGAGTAGAGCAAGGAGATCCCAAACTGCAGGGAAGCACCAGGAGTCACAGCCAGCAGCAGCAGCACCCCATAGACACCACATAAGGCTCTGCCTACCGCAGGGCCACATACCTGGTTCTTCAAGGCCATGGTGATGGGGAGCTCAGTGGACTCAGGGAGGGGCCTGCTCATCTCCTGCAGGACCTCAATGAGTTTACTGAAGGTCATCCTGCCCACCACCTTGTTCAGCGGGCTGTAGAGCAGGGGGAGAGACTGCACAGGGCAGAGGGGAGAGCAGGGATCTGAGACCCTTTGACCTGGCACAGCCACAGCCCCATCCCAACACCCAGGAGGGACACAAAGGCCAACACCACACCTCCCCCCGAGCAGAGAACTGCCACCACCACTGCTTTACCCCATTCTTAGAGACCCTTCTCCTCCACAGGGAAGGAAGATAGTTCCCATCTCATGTCAACCCTGCCAGCTGCCTGGCCATGCTGGAACCCAGCAAGATGTGCTCCCCACTGCCCAGGGTGCCCCTGCAGCAGGAGTAGACAGGAAGGAGACAGCCTGGGATGCCCCAGCCCTGCTGGAGGTGCTTGCCTCGTCCAACACATCCTTCTTTATGAGGAAGGGCAGGTGGTGGGTGATGGTTAACAGGATCTTCTCTGCTTGCTCCGGGTTCAGGTGGGGCAGGAGCCGGGCCATGAGCTTCTTGCCCTTCTGCACACACAGGAGTTGTAGAAATTCATCCTCTGCCTCCCTGGGGATGAAGGCTCCATTGGCACAGATCCCAAGGGACCCATAGCATCTCTGTCTATCCAGAAGGACCAGCATCAGCTCCAATGGAGGATGAAGCTCATAGGAATGGCCAGCACAGGCCACAGTGACACACAGAGGTCAAGTTCCAACCATTCCCATCACCCAGAACTACTCATCCTTGACCATCTGAGCCCAGCGAGGGCCAGGACATGGTGCCCTCTTCCCAAAGCACAAACTCACTCCTCACTGCTGCAAGCCCTGATTTTCAAGGCTTGGTAGATACGCTCTGCTTCTTGGCTCTTCTGCTCCTGCTCCTCCGCAGCCAGAGACATCTTCCGCTGCATCTCCTCCACTTCCAGCAGCTGCAGGAAGAGCTAGAAGAATAGTACAGGGTAAAGGGGGCAGCTCAGAGCATCTTCTCACAACTGGGACCTCTGCCAGGTAGACATCCCCTCGCAGAGCTCTTTGGTGGATGAGAACAGAGTCTGCTCCACTCATGGCTCACTCACCTTCTCGATCTTGTGCAGTGCCCGAAGACGGTGGCTCCCCGTAGCCTTCAGGAGGGGAAAAAGGAAGGCACAACAGTTACAGCCAGCACCGGACACTGCTGCCAGCAGAGCATGGGGCCAGCTGCTCCCTGGGAATTGGAGGCAGCTTCAGGACATGGAGCAATTGATCCCACAGGGAGGCCACAGCCAGCTCTGGCTGCCCGGAGCCCCATCCCACGCCTGTTGATGGCGACAAGCTGCCACCACTGCTCCACCCATATGCCCCATTCCACAGTGTGGGGCAGCACCCAGGCTTGGCCACAGCAGCTCCTAAAGCTCCTGCTAAAGCTGCTCCAGGGCCCAGGGAAAGCTCAGGGCGGCATCCAGAGCAGCCACCAGACTGGCCTCCCCTCACCTACCTCCTCCACCAGGGCATGGTGCACCGCGTCGATGGCCCGGCGCGGGCTGTAGCAGGTGGACACAGCGACCTGGCCCAGCGAGCCCGCGATGCGCACCACTGGAAGCAAGGGGACACGGTGAGACCACGGCGCACAGCCCCTCGCCGGGCCCCCACGGCTCCCGCAGCCCCTCACCGGAGTTGTAGGTCTCCACCTTCTGGATGAACGGCGTGACCAGCTTCGGCGGCTCCTGCCGGTTGCGGCCCCCGAGCAGCTCCTCCTCCGCCTGCCGGCGCTCCAGGCGGTGGTAGTACATCTGTAACAACAGGCGTAGCCTGGAGGGGCGGCACCACAAGCTCTGGCACTCCCCAAAGAGATGACACCCCAGCCCCCAGGAGAATAAGCCACCGGTGCTGCCAGCAGGAGCTCACCTGGTAGTAGTAATCATCATCCATGTTCTCGCTCTGCAGCTGGATCATCTCCACCTTGATGACCCAGTCCTTCTCCTTGGAGGTCATCAGCCCAGCATTAGAGTCCACTTTAGGAGACCACAGCTTCTTGGAGGAGATGCTAGCACAGGGAAGTCCACAGCCTGCTGTGACCACCCAGAGCCACCCCCCACCACCACCACACAGGTCCCCAGGGACACCCTCACCTCTGCTGCTGCCGCTGGGTCAGGATGCGCTGGTGCTGTGGGTGCAGCTGGGTCAGACGGTTGGGCACACTGCAGGGGAGACCAGCCGGGGGTCAGGGGCTCAGCCCAGAGAGGGAGAACATCCCCAGCTGTGCTGGGGGTCTCCTGCACTCGAATCCAAACACCCCACACATTACCCCATTACCTGAGGTTCAGCTGGCCACTGGCTGATGGACTGAAGAAGAGAGCAGGGTCCAAAGAGGGAGACATGGGACCAAAGTGCATGGCAAGAGGCCGTGGTGGGCGGCTGATGTTGGGTGACATAGGCTGGAAAGGGGCTGCAGATGTGTACCCTGTGGTCTGGAAAGGGAAAGAGAATTGATCAGACGACTGAGCCTTCTCCTCTAAGGGCCCTGGAGAGGTGTGGGGGGTCCATGCTGGCTTCTGGCTCCCTGTCATGCAGGGGCCACCCTCTCCCTGCACAGAGGGGACGCATGGGGCACCATGGCGAGGTGATACCTGCACCAGGATGCTACCACTACAGTGAGCAAGGTGAGGGGACCCATCTGTCACTGGGGATTGTATGCCCCAGGTCCATCACCAGTGCTGCAGCATGACACCAAGTGCACCACCATGCCCAATGCGGGTCCTGTGGGGACATCAGGGCAAACAGATTTGTGAAGCAATGACTACACCAGCAGCCTCAGAGGGGACACACAGGGGCTCAGAGGCCACTGCATCACCTGGTTGGAAGTGAAGAGCAGAGGGGGTCTTCGAGGCGGCACAAAGGGCCGAGGGGAGCGCTGGGAGCGAGGCACCAGAGGCGACTGCTGCAGGGCAGGAGACAGGAGGGATCACTGGGACAAGCCTGTCCTCAAGGCTGCACTCCTGGGGAGGGGAGGGGAGGGCAGAGAAAGTGGGGTGCAAGAGTCCCCCAAACCCGTTACCTGTTGGAGAAACCGCTGTGGGAAGGACTTGGGGGACACCAGCCTTATATCAGAGCGCTTGAGCTGCGGAGAGCCCCCATAGCCCCTCTGCACCGGGGAGCCGAGGAAGTCAAGAGCCACATTGCCGGATGGTGGGGGCCTCTCCAGGACCTGGACAATGGCTTTATCCTGCTGGGAGGAGGCAGCAGGAGGTGGGAACGGGGCCCAGCTGGGATGAGTTTAGCACTCCCAATACCAGACCATGCACCAGCCAGGCTCCAAACCTGGCAGCCTGCAACACCAGTGACACCCAAACTCAACACCTTTAGTCTCCAAGCCAGGTTCTGCTTCAGGTGGTCACTTCTGCCCACAGCCTTAGCACCCAAGAGACACATCTGTGCACCTCCAGTCGGACAAGAAGACTTTAGAGGTCCCCTGATCACCCCAAATTGCCTGCATGACCCTCAGCCCAGGGTGCCAGGGGGTCCTCAGCTGCTCCCCAAGGTACCCACCTCCAGCATGTTGGGAGGGGGGACACTGCCAGGGTGGGAACCCCACACTTTGGGATCCATGGCCAGCTGGAAGACAGGGAGATGGTCAGCACAGGGGAGGAGGACACAGGAGAGGAGCAGCCTCATCACCGGATAGGAGGGGACATTTTTACCACATCCTCTTTGCCAAAGTCTGCCCAGCAAGCACCAATCCTGCTGTCCAGCACCGCCGAGTCCTGGCTCTGCAAGCAAAGAAGTCATGTGCTCAGCCCTGGTGGGTTTCTTCCCTTGGACACAGACCAAGCTACCCTCAGTGCCCTCTGTGGGGCAAGGACCCCCACATGTGGGGATGGAAGGGGAGCAGTGAGTCCCCTCCCTCTCCATTCATGCATCACCTCCAGCGTGGGTTTGCTCTGCACAACTGTCATCACTGCTGGGTCTCCCAGGTCACTGGGCTCCTCGCAGGGCTCCTGGTCTTCCTCCTGATCCTCAGTGTCCAGCTCTTCCTGCTCCTCCAACTCAGAGCCAACCTGTTCCATCTCCAGCTCCACCCCACCTTCCTCCTGGGGCTCTTCCAGCTGCTCAGTTGCTTCGGGCCCCAGTTCCTCCCCTGCCTTGGTCTCCTCTGCCACTGCTTTGGCCAGCTCAGGGCTTATCCCTGGAGGCACTGGGAGTTTTGAGGCATCCTCTTCAGTAGAGTCTCGGTCTTGGAGAGGATAAGCAGAGCACATCAGGGTAGGTGAGAGCCTAGGCAGTGCCCACTACAGTCCCTGCTCCCAGCCAGGCAGGAACCTTCTTCACCCCACCACCTCCATCTTCCTCACCTCACTGGGTGCTGCCTGGTCTCCCTACCACTAGGGCACCCCGGCATCTTACCTATCCCAAAAGTCATTTCATTGTACAGGTCAAGCTCTTCATCCTCCTCAGCCATCTCCTCCAGCAGAGGTGCATCTTCCACCAGCAGGTAGTCCTCAATGATCTGCAGTCGAAAGCAGCAGTATCTCTGCTAAGGGAGAGGTAACCCTAATGTGCTCCCAAAGTGGGAGGCACCCAACCTCACCCCTCACCCCACGGGGGGGCCAGGCAGACCCCAGGGCTCACAGCAGCCCCGAAGCTGGACAAGGAAAGAGCGGGAGACACTGCACTACCAGAGAAGGCTGGGCACAGGGTAGGAGCCTACTGAAGCCTGTCAGGACCAGGGCTGCTGCTGCCCGGAGGTGACACCACCACCACAGGGGATGCCACCATGGAACAGCACCAGCGCTTTAGTGCTGAAGGACACCATCAGGCTCCAGAGTGAACACCCTCCTACCGGGGCACGAACAGCACCCGAGCACAGGGAAGGGAAGGGCACCCCACCAGCACCGACCACTCCGCGGAAAGCCGGCCCCGGGGGACGCGGCACCCGAGAGGGCGTGACCCAGGGGAGCGGGAAGGGAAGCGGCCCGGGGACGGAGCATCGCGCCCGGCGGAGCGGGGCGGGCACTCACAACCGGCTCGCCGCCCTCCGCCATGCCTCTACGAGGCCGGGCTGCCCTCGCCACCGCCTTTTAGGGAGGAGAGCGGCACCTCGCCTGCACCTGCCGTACAGCATGGCGGCGCCCACCTGTGTCCCGCGCCTGCGCACTCTCCTCGCCACGCCCCCTCGACTAGGCCACGCCTCCCTCGGTTCATCCCCGCCCTCCCAGCTGGGCCTGTCGCCGGCGCGACGCGCTGGGGTGCGGTGAGGGCCCCACCTGAGAACCGGGGAGTAACCTGCGAACACCGGTCTCTAACGGGATGGGCCACGGCCCAGGCCGGCTCCTTCCACCGCGGCCGTCTCTCCCTGTGGTGGAACGGCCGTTCAGAACCGGAGGGATGAGGCCGCTCTGGTGGAAGGCGTGACTTGGAGATCTATAGCAGCAGGGGAGCAAAACAAAGGTGAAGATCCTGTAAGCCTTGGTTGTCAGGCCTCACCTATTGCTTAAATATTTATGGCTAAATAGCCTTAAAAGAGGAACGTTTGGCTGTTCTGACAAAACCAGCATGGCCTTTTAGAAACATCACTTGGAAGAAACCGATGGTTCAGCTTCTTTTCACAGGGAAAGTCTGCTGGGTGTTGCTGGTCCCAGCATCTCCAGGGGTTCCCATCCCAAAGGGGTGTCAGTGCAGAGGAAGGATATATGTCCTGCAGTCTTTTGTAATTACCCCTCCCTGAGCCAAGGGGGTGGCTCACCTGAGCAGATCAGACTGGCCTGTGGGTCCGTGTTAGGGAGCCCCGTTTCAGCTCAGCTCCCAACACAGCTGCTGGGGCTTATTTCTGCCAGAGCCCCGAGATCCCTGATGAAGCTCTGGTGGCAGCTGCATCGCCTTATCCCGCACTGAAAACACTCAATGGCAGTTGTGAGGCTGCCAGCGTTGCTTGTCAGAGAGCCAGCAACCCCAGCAAGAGCTCACCTGGTCTGGTGGGGACTGATAACGAGCCTTTGCAGGTTTTGTTTCTACTGATTTACCTTCTGTCTTTGGGTGGGGGATGTTCTCCCTACATGCTTTATCGATTTAACTTGGGGAATGCCCTGATATTGCTGTTTTCTCCCCACTCGTTGAGATTTTCCATTCTCTCATTTTTTTTTATATTTTTAATACTTATGCAGCAAGGCAGGAGACAAGATACATGGATCTGCTTGCCATTTTGAAACAGCAACTCTAAACATACCCTGTGACCCGTAGGACCACAAGCAGACAAGCTTCTAGGTGTATAAAATACCTACGTGCCATTTAATACTGGCTCATTTCACTGTTTTGGCCTTATTTTCTTGATGTTGCTCTACTATTGTCCTCCGAGCAGTGTTACAGGGCCACCTGGAGGCGTTCCTAGGCTTCTGGAGGGGAGGCAACAGAAAACCCGGTTCTTTGCCCTTTGGGTCCTTGTGTTTGGTACCATGTTGTGATTGACAGAGTTCATCTGCCATCCTGCAGCTGCTGGACAACAGCTCCCGCACAGGTAAAGAGAACAAACCCGGGTTGAGAAGGGAAGACGGCCGGGCTCTGCCGGTGCAGGCTGTCGATGTGATACCAGCCCTGGCTGCAACATCTGCACGAGGTGGCTTTACCCCCGTGTGGTGAGGGGCAGGAGCTGGGTGCGCACCTCCCAGTGCCTTGGCTGGCTCCCGGGCGTGCTCCTGACCGCAGGTGCCCAGCTCCGCGCCCGGGCTCGGCTGGTGCTCGGTGCCCCCATCGTCCTCGACGCCTTCATCCCCGAGGCAGGGGCAGGTCCCCGGGCGGTGTCCCTGGGCGGAAGCGAAAGTGAAAGTGAAAGCGAAAGCTGCGATGGCCGCAGTGCGCAGGCGCGGTGGCTTGCAGAACCTCTCCTCTGCCGGTCTGCCTAGGGACTGGTGACGCTCGGGCCGCGGCTCTCTAAAAGGCGGGGAGCGAGAAGCGCTGGGAGCTGCGCAGAGCCGTGCCCATGGGGCTGCCCGGAGCCATGCGGGGTCTGATCCTGATCGTGCTCCTGGTCCTGGTCGCGCTGGGGGAGGCGGACGGTGAGTGCCTGGGGCTGGGTGAGGGGCACGGTACCGATTACCGCGGGCGGGCAGAGGGGAGACTGAGATGAGCTCTTAGGCAGAAGCTCTTCCCTGTGAGGGTGCTGAGGCGCTGGCACAGGGTGCCCAGAGAAGCTGTGGCTGCCCCATCCCTGGCAGTGTTCAAGGCCAGGTTGGACACAGGAGCTGGGAGCAAGCTGCTCTAGTGGAAGGGGTCCCTGCCCGTGGCAGGGGTTGGACTGGATGAGCTTTGAGGTCCCTTCCAACCCAAACCACTCTGTGGTTCTCCTTGGTGGTGTGTGCTGCAGTCCTGCTTTTCACTGCCCCCTTTCTCTCCTCCAGAGGCACCAAAAGTGGATGTGTACTCCCGTGATCTTGTCACTATGGGAAAAGAAAACACCCTCAACTGCTTTGTGAGCGGTTTCCACCCTCCGAAGATTGAAATCTCCCTCCTCAAAAATGGGAAGCCCATGAACAACGTGAAGTACACAGACTTGTCCTTCGATGATAAGTGGCACTTCCAGCGCCTGGTGTATGCACCTTTCACCCCCCAGAAGGGTGACATCTACCTTTGCAGGGTGGCCCATTCTACCTTCAGGGAGCCACAGGATTTCCAGTGGGGTATGGTGTGCCTTCCTTCTCAAGCTTTGCCATCGTTTGTGGGCAGGAGCCAGAGCTTGTTAATTTATAACCACAGGGGGAACAGAGTTCTCTAATGGGATATTGAAGGTCTTGTGCTGTTGATGGAAAACAAACTTGTTTTCATCTGTGCTGCTCAAAGGGTGGTGTACACGTACCCAGGGAAGAATTCCTTAGTAGCAGATGGAGAAGCCTTGGTATTATCTCTAGGTATTTGGTACAACAGCCTTAGCAGAGCACTCTAACCTCTTTCTGGGTGAATTTGCCTGGAAAAAGGTGGGTTGTGCAGCGAGTTTTGGCTTTATATTTGGTGACTGTAAGGAAGGATATAGCGGTGGGGACTGGTGGTGGTGGCCCAGCCTGACAGCCAGCACACAGATGAGAAGCAGCAGCTCTCTGGTTTCTGCACTGTGGGCTTGTGGTGACAGGGGACACAGGGTGCTCTACCTCAAAGCCTAACGCTCTGCCCTTCTTTTTTGCAGAGGCAGACTTCTAAGCTATGCCTGGAATAACTGAGGTGAGTTGCGCTGATGATCTGTGCTGTTCTGATAAGGGGAACACATGCCCCTTTGTGCAAGGGGGGAATGTGTAGCTTGCAGAGTTGAGGAAGAAAAGCAATCACCCCCCAAAGCCACAAAATATATTATGTTGCTGCTGACTGGGAGTGGGGTTGTTCCCACACCTTTTCTACCTGCTATTTTGGCCAGTTCTCAGCCATGCTTTGCCTACAAGAGTGTCCCTGGCCCAAAAGAAAGGAACCCCACTGGAGCAAAACTTCCCCATGTCTTTTTGGTGTGTGCCAGATATCGTTTGGACAGTTGTTGCATGTCCTCTCGTGCTTCCCACACCCTGCCGTGCTCTCCTCGGATCAGTGAGGAGGAAGTTGAGTGTTCAAAGTCAAGTCGGACAGAGATAGTGTGAGGTGTCCCTGCCCATGTCAGTGGGTTGGAGCTACATGATTTTAAGGTCCTTTCCAACCCAAACCATTCTGTGTTCTATGATATTTGGAAATCCCCGCAGCTTGGGGAAAGGCGGGCTGGTTCCCCCTGTGGCAGGCAGCGTGTCAGCTTGGTAACATGGGATCGATGAGGCACAAGTCGGTGCCTTGCTGCCAGATCAGGAGCAGTCTTGGTTTTATTCACTGCTGTGTCTGAGGGCTCCAGGTGCTTCAAACTACATGGCTATAACTAATCTGGATTTAGCAGTCTGGTAAATAATAGTTTCACCCTTGATAGTGAAAGAGAAACTAAAGCTTTGTTGCCTGGCTGACGTGGCTGCAATGCTGGCTGGAACACCCTAGTTATGTACCCTGATAGAGCCCAGAGAAGCCTTGGCAAGACCTCTGTGAAATGCCCTAACTTGGTACCAGAAGATGCTACTGATGAGCTTTTAGGCTGAGATGGAATCATGAGTCAAATTAGCTTTGTAAATGCCCTGGACATTTCTTCTTGGGAAGATGTAGATGGACCAGAGTCCTTTACTTCTTGCTGCCCCTTTTAAAGCTCTCTAGTCCTTCTTTGCTGTAGAGCACCAAAGGCTAGGAGGGGTGTCAGGCTCTCAGGGAGAAAATGAAGGTGAGTTGACCATCTTTCTAGCGGGGGACAACAGAAGATAAGCTTTTAATTTACAGCAGAAAAGCAAATATTGTGGGATATTGAGGAAAGGCTCAGGAGATCAGCAGCGTTAGTGGGATGTCAGCTTGAGGGTCACCGATGGTGAAGGTTGCCAGGCTTGGTTGGAGGTTGGACACTGGTGACTTGGCTAGAGTCTGGGGACTTACTGAGCTGGTGTGGAGTTGTTGGGAGCTGATAAAGAGAGAATATCCCTGCAGCTGGTGCTTGGTGTGAAGAGCAGGGATCATCTTGGTAGAGGGTTGCTTGTTGAACTCTGAACCCCCATCAAGGTGGGGAGGGGAAAAACAGATCCTGCTAGATCTGTAGCTAAATAAAACTGGACAGTGGGAGTCTGCAGTTGGAGTTCCCCTGTGGAAAACACTCTTATGTTCTCCTGAAATAATTTGGTGAAGGTGTGAACAGAGTGACTGATGTCAACCTCCCCCATGCAGGTCTGAAAAGTTCCGCCTTCCAAGTCCAGATCTCTTCGGAACTTCTGTCCTTTCTGCACATCTCACTTGTGGATCTGATGAAAATTAGCCATCAGCTTCATTGCAGAAGAATTTTCTTTAATAAAGCTTATAATGTCATTTACCCAAAGCACTATAGGCGATAGGCCTGCTTTTTGAGCACAGAGCTATAAAAGTCTGTATTACTGATTAAAAATCAGTCCAAGTTCTTCAGTGCTCTGAGTTGCACAGGATTTTTATCTCAATAAAATTGGATGACTTCAGTAGGGTCTCTTGAAAAAGAAAGAAGAATGAAAGTTTTATGTGGGATCTGCCTGAGCACAGCCTCCTGTGTGGCTCTGAAGGGAAAGCATCAAGCCAAAGCTAAAAGGGAAAAAGTAACTCTGGGGACACTGGGTCTGGTCTTAAAGCTGTGTGAAAGGAAAGGGAGGGATGGGCAGGATGTGGTGCCCACTTCAAGGGGGAGAGCTCCAGCTGATGCCTCTTGGGAGTGTGTGTGCTGTAAAGCTGAGCTGAGGGGAAGGTGATGTGTGTGTCAGTGACTTTCATTTCTGGTTTTCTCTTCCGTGAGTGGTTGACCCCATGGAGAAGTCCTGTTGGGGACGGTCTTTTGTACTGTGGGGGTTTGATGGTAGTAGTCCAAAATGGTGCTACTTTGTAATGTTCATCAGACTGCTTTTGTTCTATGGAGAAATGAATAGGATTGCTGGATGAGCGTTGGATCAAAGAGGATCTCATCAGTGAACATGTATGTCAACAAGGATTCCTGGCAACCCAGTGGGTGTGATTTAGCACGTCTCTTCTTGGGTATATTAAGATTTGCTTTGGCTGGTGTTGTAATGCACTTGAGATTTAGGCTTGTTTTGCAGCTTTTGCCATTATAACCACAATTCTATTAAAGACTGGGAAAATCCAAACTGTTGCAGTTCCATTTGGAGGTTGCTGGGGTGTGTATGGGGACTGATCCTTTTGTGCTCATTGGAGGAGGGTTCAAACAAGAGAAGTGGGGATGTCCTGGCTGGGTGATCATGCAAAAGCCTCATCATCCAGCATAGGGCAGCAGGACTTACTGGAGCCACCACACAGCTCAGCCTGTGACACCAGCCAGGGACTGCAGCAGCCCCAACACTGCTCCCTCTGTGGTAGAGGATGGTCTTAGAAGGACGAAGAGGTTTAGGCTTCTCCTCCAGAGACCCCAGCAGAGCAGCACTGCCTGCTGTGAGAGCCTGAAGCGGCCTGAGCTGTGGACCATGTCCTGGCCTCCTCTGTTCAAAACCCATGTAGATGAGGCCCTCAGTGCCATGGGTTAGTGGTGGACTTGGCAGTCCTGGGGTAAAGGTTGGACTTGGTGGTCTTAAAGGCCTTTTCCAACCCAGCTGATTCTATGAAGAGCCACCAAACTGCCTACAACTGCCTCAGCTTCACCTTTACTACCCTCAAGAGCACCAGGGAGTAACAACTGGATGCATCATGCCAATAGGGAAGTCTCTGCCCTGATTGCATCTGTGGGGTTTTTCTGGGCTTACTTAGGAAGTATTTTGATGGTTTAATCAGAAATGCCCCCCTCTGCAGGAGAGCAGCGCAGGGCAAGCCAACGGCTGGCTCACGTGCATTAACATCGGCATTGCAGGACCACAGCTAAAACCTCCGCTGTTTTATCGGGCACCCTTGGGTGCAGCCTTGGGGGTACCTGGGTTGCAGCTGTGCTGCTGCTGGCTTTTAGTGAGCGTTGCCTGGGGGTGGAGCTGCTGAGGGATCAGGTTTGAAGTACAAAACAAGCCTCATTTGTGCTTTGTGGGGTAAAACCAATTTTACTGCAAGGAAACTATTTCTGAGTAACCCAAGCGCAAAGAGAACAACTTCGAGGGGAACTTTTTGGAAGGCCGATTTCTTCAGTGCCACGTCTCCCGGGTTTTATGCTTCACCAGTTCCCGTGTGGAAGGAACAAAACCTGACGGGATGAGTGCAAGAGGAGGGGAAAGTCATTCAAGACACACGACTGAGCACAGATGTCCTGCAAGAGAAGTGCAACCAAGTGAAAGAGCCAGGACACATCCAGTCAGGGCTCCCAACACCACGGAGCAGTCAGACGTGGCCTAACTCTTCTTACCTCTTCCCCTTCCATTTGCCAGCATTGCCAAGTCCTTCGTGCACGGGAAGGCGCGCGCAAGCAGAAATAATCCTCCAGTTTGTGTAAAAACTGCATTAACAATCGGCAAGAACCAAAGAGCAGGGGCTCTGTGCTCAGCTCTGCGACACCCAGCGCCTTCTGGGGCACGCTCACTGTCAGGATGGGGGCACGGACCCAGAGGTGGAGTGCAAGCTGGATCGTTTATTGCAAAGCCTACACGACATTTATATACTTCCAAGCAATTAGCCAAGCACATCTGTGTTTGCCTTGCGGTTACATCAGGTGAAAGCTCTATCTGATTTTCTTACTGACATCCTCTTGCCAGTTCCAACGTCCTTGTTCCTTGCCAGTTCCAACATCTTCCAAGTACCAGTCAGGGACGGGTCGCTCTTAATGGCCTGCTGTAGTTCCTCCTTCCCATGGCCTCTGGCAGTTTCGATACACTCCAACCCCCACAGCTCAGCTTTGCTTGAGTGCATGTGCATGAGCGAACCTCCTGGGTGTGGAAAGTAAGAGCATGGAGGGGCCCAGAGCGTGGCGGTGCCCACCCGTGAGCCCTGCAGGGACACCAGGTCTGGAGGTGCTGAAGTGCCCGGCACAGCGGCCCCTGCCACTGCAGCACGGGGCTGAGGAGACGGGGTCTGGAGGGCAGCTCTGCTGGCAAGGCAGGACATGGGTCTGGGCATGGAGGCGACTCGCTGCCTCCCTGCTGCATACAGAGGGCATGGGCTGAACCCCAGAGCGTGAGCAGCAGCTCAGGGAGGGGATCCTGCCCCTCTGCTGTGCTCTGGGGAGACCCCCCCTGCAGCCCTGATCCAGCTCTGGGGCAGCAGCACAAGAGGGACGTGGAGCTGTTGGAGCGAGGCCAGAGGAGGCCATGGAGATGCTGCGAGGGCTGGAGCAGCTCTGCTCTGGAGCCAGGCTGAGAGAGCTGGGCTGGGGCAGCCTGGACAAGAGAAGGCTCCTGAAGGGGAGACCTGAGAGCAGCTCCAGTGCCTGAAGGGGCTGCAGGAAAGCTGGAGAGGGGCTTGGGACAAGGGATGTAGGGACAGGCCAAGGGGAATGGCTTTAACCTGCCCGAGGGGAGACTGAGATGAGCTCTTAGGCAGAAGCTCTTCCCTGTGAGGGTGCTGAGGCGCTGGCACAGGGTGCCCAGAGAAGCTGTGGCTGCCCCATCCCTGGCAGTGTTCAAGGCCAGGTTGGACACAGGGGCTTGGAGCAAGGTGCTCTAGTGGAAGGTGTCCCTGCCTGTGGCAGGGTTGGAGGGGATCAGCCGCTGGCGCAAGGGGAGCCCGCGGGAGGGGTGAGAACCCGCAGGGCTCCAGCTCCCAGTGCCCAGCACCGGAGGGAGGGGGGGGGCGGACGGACCCCAGGGGCTTCCTCCAGCGCCCGTCCCGCGGTTCCCGGCACCGCCCCGCAGGGCTCCTCCCGCCGCCGCCATGTTCCGGGGCCGCAGCGCTTGGTTCTCGCAGAGCGTCAGCCCCGGCCCGCGGGAGCTGTGGGGTGAGAGCCCGGGGATGGAGCTGACACAGCCTCGGTGGGGCAGAGCAATGGGGCACAGCCCTGCACCCTTCAGTGGGGCAAAGCAATGGGGCACAGCCCCTGCACCCCTCGGTGGGGCAGAGCAATGGGGCAGAGCAATGGGGCACAGCCCCTGCACCCTTCAGTGGGGCAGAGCAATGGGGCACAGCCCTGCACCCTTTGGTGGGGCAGAGCAATGGGGCACAGCCCCTGCACCCTTCAGTGGGGCAGAGCAATGGGGCACAGCCCCTGCACCCCTTGGTGGGGCAGAGCAATGGGGCACAGCCCTGCACCCCTCATCCCAGCCCCGTCACCCCTCCGTAGGCAGAGCTATGGGGCACAGCCCTGCACCCCTCAGTGATCACCCCTCAGACCATGGTGCCCCCACGCTGAGGAAAAGCCCAGAAGAGTCCTCAGTGGGGCAGTGGGAGACCCAGAGCCATGGGGGGGGGGGCACACAACACACTGCGGGGCCCAGCTCTGCCGTCCCCATCCCGTGTCACCGGAGCTGGGCCCCGTTGGGTGCCCAGCTCCCTGCTCTGTGCTCCTGTCCGCAGCGGCCGGTGGCGGGGGCTGCGCCCGCTGGCAGGATGCTGAGTACCTGTTCAGCAGCGACGCCGCGCACCCGGACACCCGCAGGTGAGCTGTGTGCCCCCCGTGTCACCCCCGTGTCCCCCCTCTGCCAGCAGCACCCGCCTGGCTCAGGACATGCCTGCGGCCCCGTCGACCCTCTCCATGCGATGTCCGTGCGGAGCAGGTCGATGGAGGTGGATACACCGCATTCAAGGTGTTTAAGGGATGGTGACATCCTTGGTTTAGCGGTGGCCTTGGCTGTGCTGGGGAACGGTTGGACTTGATGATCCTAAAGACCCTTTCCAACCTCATTGATTCCATGATCCTGATCGTTTAATATATATTCTATGATCCTTTAAAAGCCAGGCTGGTGGTTTTAAAGCAACTGGTACACATCAGTGGGATTCTGCTGCTTAATAGGGTCTGAAAACTCACCCCCACACTAAACTGGAGCTACAGAAACCCAAAAACAACAGCAAAACCTATCCATGCATCAGGCTGGTTTAACGATGCCGAGTGAATTAAACTGATGATGCTGGTTTTGTCACTACCTTTGAGTTTATCTACTGGAAAAGTTGGGGTCTAACACAGAGGTGACACCATCCCCAAGGAAGGAAGCTGAAAAGCTTCAGAGTTGACTCTGAAAGCAAAGCATGGAGGTAAACGTGGCTGGAAAACCGACGAACTGCTGTTTTCCTTCAGCTTGCTTAATATAAAAGAATGAGAGAGCTCAAGAACATTTGTACAAATACAAGGAAAGGCTTCTCAGGGTCTTCCTCCAGCTGGTGAATCACAGAATCCCAGGATAGTTTGCATTGAAAGGGACCTTAAAGCTCCTCCAGCTCCAACCCCTGCCACGGGCAGGGACCCCTTCCACTAGAGCAGCTTGCTCCCAGGCCCTGTGTCCAACCTGGCCTTGAACACTGCCAGGGATGGGGCAGCCACAGCTTCTCTGGGCACCCTGTGCCAGCGCCTCAGCACCCTCACAGGGAAGAACTTCCCCTGTTTCAGTTTGAACCCATCACCCCTTGTCCTATCACTACAGTTCCTGAGGAATCTTTATATATATTCAATATCATGTAAATATATTTATGTGGAAGGGACCTGCAATGTTTCCTTGCAGTGCTTTGCAGCAGGCTCTGCTAGGCTGGACTAAGAAGCTGCCTTTAACTGCTTTAAATTGCTTAAACCTGTCTTAGATTTTTGTAATCCTCAGCCAACCATTCCAGCTGCAGAAGGGGAATCCCAAGAAACCCTGAGCAAAGACCTTTCTTCTGGCACAGCATCTTGTTGGACTGGGTTGTTCAACCAGGAGAATTTACATATCATTATATATATAATATATATATTCAATGTATTTATAGGCATCACAGAAACATGGTGGGATGGTTCCTATGACTGGAGTGTTGGAATAGAAGATTACAGGCTCTTTAGAGGCCTGGCAGGTGGGGAAGGGGAGTTGCCCTTTATGTTAGGGATAGGCTGCAGAGTATGGAACTCTGTCTGGGGACAGGTGAGCAGTTAACAGAGAGTTTGTGGGTCAGGGTTAAAGGGAATATAGCTATGGGAGACATTACTGTGGGGATCTGTTACAGACCGCCTGATCAAGGAGAACCTACGGATGAAGCACTCTATAGACAGATAGGAAAAGCCTCACGCTCACAGGCCCTTGTTCTCATGAGTGACGTCAAC